AAAAAAAAAAAATATTAGCCTAAAATGCCATTCCCCTCCCCCTCCCTGCCTCCCTAGATCCTCTTTCCCGAAGTGATTTCTACCCCCTGGAAGCCTGCGACCAGCCCCTCCCGCCACTGGCCAGTTTCCACCACCGTCATAGTTACTGCATTCTTGCCAATCACTTCTCATGTTTACTTTCTGGCCAGAATATTTGCTTTCTGGTTTTATTCACTAACGATATTGTGACAAAGCCTGAACGGGGTTTCAAAATATAATCCTTACACTGGCAACTTCTGGGAACCAACATATCCTATCACACTGTTTGGGCTTTAAGACTTGACATGAAATTTTAACATTCCTTCTGAAGATTTACAAACATTCCTTCTGAAGATTCTAAAGTATTCACAATACTTTAAATTCAAAATACTTGAAAGTTTAAATCCAAGATGAATTGGATTCATAGTTTTTCAACTCCTAAAGTGTTAAGGATGTCAGAATAATTCAGAATTTGATATGAATTATAAATCCTTAAAGATAGAAGGAACATAGGAGGCAAGCTGAGGTGGCCAGTCTCCCTCCCAGCCTAGAAAATGTTCCCAGACCTTCCTCGAATGGGGCTCGCGAAGCCTCTGAAGGAGTGGAAAGCAATGTTGGCAGCTCTCGCCATCAAAAGACAGTCTGGTACATAAAAAGTAGCTGTGCTGGTCAAATGTATATTACCACAATAAAAAAAAAAATTGGAGGGAAAAAATGTTGCTCTGCCGGGAGAAACAAAGCGTATTTTAGTCCCAGCTATGCTGCCAAGACTCCGAAACTGTGGACTAGTCACATCTCCACTAAATAGGAGTTGGACAGATCCACCCTGAAAGTCCCTTGAAGCTCTGACTTTCTACGCTTCTACAGTTCTTTCTTTTTTAAGCTTAAAATTGCCTTTTTTCTTTGTATATAAGGACCCAAATTATGAAACTAATGGCACAGATCAAGTCAGCTCCTGAAAGTAAATGAACACAAAGAAAGAGATGTGTTTGTCAGAGTCATCTGTGTCCCCGAATGTCTGGGGTGTATGGAGGGGACAAGGAAGACAATCCAAATCCTGGAGGTGCTTGGTCTACACTTGCTGCCAGAGGGCTTTACTGAGCTTCTCAGAAAGCATCCAAGAAGCAGACGTTTTCCAAGCCCACGCGGGCGATGCTTGAATCCCATAACCTTTGTCCCACACCCAGCGGGTCTGGACCTTCAACTCTGCCCTGTGTGCAAGGCATCCAGGAGCAAACACACGAGTTATTCTGGGTTCTCCGCCCTCCTGGCCAGATGTTACAAAGTCTGGTTAGATTCTCCTCGGGATGCCCTGCACACATGCCCTTCTCCCACGATGCTTCTGCTCCCTCCTCACAGGACGAACAGCGGGGTCATACCCAGGGAACGTTTATGCCCCTTGTGCCCAGCCCAGGGTCCCACCCTGGGCCGCCGGAAGCTCCGGGGGTCCTCCCGCTGGGGCAGGAGGGCAAGTGGGATGAGCCAGGGCCACGGAGGGGCTGGCGACCCGAGAGGCAGGAAAACGAGGAGGCGGGGGCCCACAGGTGAGGGGGCTGCAGCCCCGGACCCCGTCCCCACCCCCAGCCGCCCCTCCGCCAGGGTCGTCACGGGAGAGTCGGAGGCGGGGGCGCACGGGTGAGGGGCTGCAGCCCCGGACCCGGTCCCCACGGGATTGTCGGAGGCGGGGGCTCACGGGTGAGGGGGCTGCAGCCCCGGACCCCGTCCCCACCCCCAGCCGCCCCTCCGCCAGGGTCGTCACGGGAGAGTCGGAGGCGGGGGCGCACGGGTGAGGGGCTGCAGCCCCGGACCCGGTCCCCACGGGATTGTCGGAGGCGGGGGCTCACGGGTGAGGGGGCTGCAGCCCCGGACCCCGTCCCCACCCCCAGCCGCCCCTCCGCCAGGGTCGTCACGGGAGAGTCGGAGGCGGGGGCGCACGGGTGAGGGGCTGCAGCCCCGGACCCGGTCCCCACGGGATTGTCGGAGGCGGGGGCGCACGGGTGAGGGGCTGCAGCCTCGGGCCCCGTCCCCACCCACAGCCGGCCCTCCGCCAGGGTCCCCACGCCAATGCGGGAGAGTCGCACCACAGGGACCCCGGTGGACCCCCAATGCTGTCGGGGCGGTCCCGGCTCTCCCCTGCCAGCTCACCCGCAGCGACCCGCGATCCTGAGGCGACACCGCTCTCCAGCTGCCCTAGATCCTGCCCTGGCCCCCGCCAGCCGGAGCCCGCTAGCCCCGACTTCTGATTGGCCCCTCGCGATCCCCCGCCGCCAATCAGCGCACAGTACTGGGAGGCGAGGCTGGGCCGCGGACCGCCCCGCCCCGCCCCGGCCGGCGGGATCGGGCAGCTGATTGGCTTCCGACATCCCTGCCCCGCCTTCTCTAGGTGGTCACCCACTCAGAATCCGGCTACCTCTTACCA